ATTGTCTGGTTTATGGCAGACGCTCACCCCAGCGGTCCCTTCTCCTCACCAGTTTGCATCCTTTGTGAGCACGCCTGTGAATAAGCAGGTCTGGAGTAGAAGAGGCAGCTGGCCAGGCCTGTGCCAATTAGAAGCTGCAGCAAGCAGGTTTCTACCACTCGAATCCTCAAGAGACTTCAAGTATTGTTATCATTTTGGTCACGCAGTGCTATCTTCAACAATGAGCATGTTCCTTGAAGAATCAGAACGCACTTCCAATCTGTCATTATGTATCCACAGCTAGGCAAGGGTGCAGGTTTAATTCGTACACACGCGCATATCTCCTCTCAGCTCTTAGTCCATGGGTTGCTTCCTGCACACATTAGTTTATGATAGTTGCTGTTTAGCAGATGGGGCTTGAAGCCTGTCGCTGTAAGTGAATTGGGCAGTCCACAGTCTGCAACGTGCCTTTTACCCAGCAGCCCTGCATTCTAACAGGAACTGTCATAGCGAGGAGAATAATGAGGTGAGGTGAGGTGATGTTGTTATGGGGAGGACAGGTTGGATAATGAGCCCCGGGTGGAGCAGAGAGGGTGGTTCTGGCAAGCCAGGGGAATGGAGGTAGAATCATTCAATAGACAGCAATGTGGTAATGAGGCTGGAGTGCTTTTACTTTAAAGTGCTTGCAGTGTGCAGTCTCCTGCCTGCTGTGCAAGAGGCAGGTAAGGGGTTGGAGTTATTTAACTGAACTAAATAACAAGGAAGTCATGTCAAGCACAACAGCCTGTTTTCGCAGAACAATGGTCCCCTGTTGCTGCATAAACACTGAGGGCCAGGCTAGCTGTGTGTTTTCCAAGCAAGAGACAATCTCCCCAGTGCCTGCTGCGGACTCAAACACTTCCATTAGAGCTGTTAGGGCAGGAGATCTACCATTGTCGTAGGGATGTAATTGACCTGCTACATTCGGATTGGCTCGGGCTATTCACAGAACAGCTTCTATGAGCCCAGGGTCTCATATAAAGTGAGTTAATCCCTGAATAGCAGGAGTTTGGTTGATAACCAAGTGAATAATGGTGACTATACCTGTATAATCTGCAAAATACATCTCCCATCAGAAATGATCTTAGTGGAACAGGAGATCGTGTCTGTCAATTCATTTAGCCTGGTAGCTGCCCCACATCTGTCAGGCAATGCAGGCAGAACATTCACATGTGTGCGTACCCACAACCTAATGTCAGCCCCTGGGTGGGAAAACCTGTAGTTGGACACCTACCATCTCTAAGTCTCTACTGGCTGGCACAATGGAGGGGGAATGAGCTACCAGCTAGGCACAGGGGACTGGCATCACAAGTGTTTGGGTCTGTGCCTGGCTCTGCCACTGATTTACCACATGATCTTGGACAAGTCTCTGCATCAACTGCACCATCTGTAAATACAGGATGATGATACTGGGCGCCTCACTCTGACAGGTTATGAATCTTAATCCCTGAGAGCTCATCTGCACTGCCTCTGAGCTGTACCTGGAAGCACTGGTGTGAAGGAGGTTGCTTCCACTGATTCCTACTCTGCACATGCCATATCCCAGAAATGGGGCAACATATGACCTCAGGGGATCCCTAAGAGTTCCCTAATAAGCATACTCAAGGCAGAGCCCATGAGCAGTAGCACTGGGGACACTCATGAGGCTGCTCTAAGGGAACTGTAGTCCCTTTGAGCTGATGGGGGGGGGGTCTTATCAGCGGGGCGGGTTGCTTCTCAGTAGTGGACCCGGGCACAGCCTGGAGGTAAAGCCCATAGGGCCTGTACAGGGGTTAGGATCCTGGAGTGGGAAGTGCTTTAGGAAAGCAATGCACAATGCTAGAAGTCTCAGTATCATGGTGCAAGCATGTAACAAAGAATCTCCAAGCAGATAGTTCAGTACAGCAGCCTTATAAACAAAGGCTGCTGTGATGGGACTGCAACTTCCCTCTGCCTCAAATATGCCATGTGGAAGTAAGAGGCCAAAGGAAACTCATCCCCAGTTGGGGTTCAGCACAGTCCATGACGTGTCCATGTGAATTGCAAACAAGCCAGTGTTGAATAGAGGCCATGGAAGCAGTGAGTACATGTCAGGGTGCTGACTTGTAAGGCTGCATAAGTGCATCTCAGTAACAAGCTATATCTAAGCAAGAGAGGCAGCTAAGTGGGCCCAATTTGTGACAACATAGGGGTGTTTGGATGTGGTAGCAGGCTGTGTGACCTCTGCTGTAACTAGTTTCAATGTGGGCATTTGGTTCCTCCTACTGTGCAGATACCACTTGTTCAGATCTGTGCCCGCTTCCTGTTGCCAATGCATCCCAGGGTGTGTTGATGGCCTGATGCTCTGGAATATGAAACCTTAGTTAATACAATGTCAGGCTGGGAGAACTGTCAGGTTTATAATTCCTGTTTGCTCAGTGTGGAAAGTGGTTTTTCCTTTTCACTTGCACGTTGCTTATTGTGTTTTTTTCCCCCCTTTAGAGCGAGTTTTACCCACACTCCCCAACCCTTTTCCAGGTCAGTATATGTTTTATATCAAAGTAGCTCTTTAGCCGGGTCATTCTCCATCATCTTCAACAAATGCTGAGAGCTAAGGGTGAGCAGAAAAGTCCAAAGAGAAAATAACATCAAGGTGTCCTCTTTTCCATGACATGGGTATTGACCCTTTGCCCCCCTCCAAATCGTTGCCAAAATCCAAGCCTGAGCCTGAGACTGTGTCTGAGCTGAGACTCAGAAAAGTCTCAATGTGTTAAGTGCTGTTCAGATTGTCTCTAGGTCCAGCTCTATATATTCCACCCAAAATGATACATGGCAAACTACTTGAAAATGGCTCTTCTTTGGATGTTCCTTGTCTGAGTAGAAGCAGCAGGGTACCTGAAATCCTGCAAGGGGAAAATAAATTCAAAACTACTACTATGAGGATTCCAGAACAAGTTGTGCAAATAAGTGGGAACAGGGAAGCATGCAAACTTAGGAGTGCTTATTCACAACAAATCTTTTCCCCGGCTTATCTGTCGCCAATGAAAGCAACTTCTGCTTTTTGTATGGCAACTCAGCTGGCTCACTAATCATTAATGGAATCATAGTTAGTTGTTAAAGCACACAAGATGGTGAGAGGCCTTGACTGA